AGCTGCTTTTGATACTGCATGGATGGTGCGGAGCTGGGCTCAAGGAAAACCCCCGTTAGAAATCCTTGCTGAGCGGTAGGTGCTGCTTTTGTCTTCTCCATTGCCAGTGTTTTAAAGAGTTGTTGTACTGATAGAAGGCAGTGATATTCAGAATGCCAACAAGAGAAATTCTTCCTTGGTGCAATGGCATTGGGCTGAAATTATCTATTCCTTCAGGTTACTGAACAATTTACAATAGCAGTAGGTTGTTGCTCGGCAAGCTTCTGTACGCTAATACAGAGATCCAGCAAAGTGCTTGACATGGGTTTAAATCACTAATTTAAGTCACTAATGACTAGAATTAAGTATGGTCCTTAAGGAAATAAACCAAAGATACCTTGTGGCAAAAGATTAACCCTCCAACAATCTCAGCACCTGTTCTTTCAATTAAAAAAAAAAAAAATCCTCAAACAATCTAAATACTTTAACACTACCAGCTTTCATAGTTGGTATCTGTGATTTTAACTCTGCGTTTTAACTTAATAGCCCTTATGCCCTCTTTATTTAGACTGATAAATATGTGGTAAAGGAGAACAGCTATAATGCTGTATCAGAAGCTTCTCTGTGTAATGGCTTTTTGACCAGAGCGCAAAAAAAAAAAAAAAATCTAAGCACACCAGCAGCCCTGGTGTCGCCATGGTCTGATGGTTGAAGTCGCTGACTTTTGGTCCAGATGGTAACTTCCTGCTCTGCTACAGCTGCCTAGGCTGTTTCAGGGCAGCTACATAACAGAAATAGTCATAATTGTGGTAATGCAAGTAGAAGCATTACTAAGTACAGTGCTTTGAGAAGTTTTAAGATAGAAGCCTGTGGGATGACTCAAACATGGCATAGTCCCAAATGGAAAATTGCACAGCATAATAAAAAAGGCTGTGGTGGTTATAGGAATTGCAGAATGACGGGATTTAGTGCTGTTATGTGGTAAAGAAGTTGCTCCTTGGGTGGATGTTAAAGCAAAACCAGATGACTGAATGATGTAACCTCCTTTTTTTTTTTTCTCCTTTTTCCTGCTTGCTTCCTGCCACAGGAAAATACGGGCATAAGTTCTAAGAGTCTGTCTTTGTTGTCCTTTTTCTGTTTGGCATCCTTCTGCTGAGCAGGGATAAGAAATGGATGGATGCATTAATGCATTTAGTGCGTAACACTTGTCCTAGGAGAATCAAAATAAGGTGCAGGTAGTTGCCAAAAATAAAATACTCTTTATATAATATTTTTTTTAAATGAATCTCTTGCATCTTTTTTCTCTATAAGAGAGAGCATTTATCGACTTTTGCCTCAGACTACCCCTGAAAATATTAACAAGAACTTTGACCAGTATACCATTGACCCAGCAACAAGATACCCGAACTTGAACTCAAGCTGTGTTCGACCTCACCAGGTCAGTACCTAAAAGGCTTGCTTGTGAAATCACAGTACATTTTTTGTCCAGGAGAAATAGGACTGCAAGTAGTGTGTAAACAAAGCTTCAGGGGACTCCTTAATGTAGAACCAGCTATTGATAAAGTCAACCTAGAGAGAAAACTTTTTTTCTCTCCAAGTGAGTCTAACATTATGCTGCCAATTGCTTTTACTTGTAGGTGAGACAATTATATGTTACCAATGAGTTACAACAATGTCCTCTTGAAAGAGTGAGCTCCATTAGAAGATCAGTGAATTTCTCAAGACGTGGTATGTGATGTCTCATGTTTGCTGTGGCTTAATATTTGGAGCCTTCTGAGCATACAAAACCTGATGAAAATATTTGCTCTCCACTGTAACTGCAGAGTCAGATATTCGACCTAACAAGCTCTTGACATGGTGTCAGAAGCAGACAGAAGGGTACCGTAACGTTAATGTCACAGACCTGACTACCTCCTGGAAAAGTGGCCTTGCGTTGTGTGCAATTATCCATCGCTTCAGACCTGACCTCATGTAAGTGATGTCGGTAGATCTGGAGTGTAGGATATATTAAGCATTTACCAAAGTATAGTGTAAGACCAACCAGAACAAAACTGATACTCTGCAGTCCTCTTCTATTGCTGGTTTTTGCAAGGAGGTGCACACCGTTGCTGGGTTTGGGGCATGGAGAGGGTGGGGTGGTTTTTGCTTTCTTTTTTCTCTATGTCCTTGCATAGCATTTAAAATTAAATATATATGCTTTCAAAGAGCTAGGAAGGCTTTGAACCTTATGACTTATGATCATGTTTGTGGGAGTCACATGGCTGTTTAAAACAAAAATTGCAGTGCTTGGAGAATGTGAGTTGCATTCCCAGGTCCCTGGAGACAGGTTTTTAGAGTATGTTTAAAACCAGAGCCATAATGGCACTGTCACGAGTTAAGGCTCGTTCAGGTATTTCTGTTAATTGAGCCATCCTTGCTGTGTTGTAGTGGTTGCTGTGACAGCCATGTAGATGCACAGGAGATGGTGATTTTGCACAACACTCTGTCCAGAAGAGTGCAGTGCCCTTGCACGTGGGCTGTGCAGCAAGGGCTGGCCTTTGAGAAGTAACTGCTTTAGGGATTGAGTGTAAGCCAGCATTCCCCTTTCGACAGTGTTTCTGGGATCCTAACCCTACAAGACCCAACTTCTTGTGTATGAATGTTTTGTAAGGTTCCTTGCTTAGATACAAGAGGGTCAGTGTGTAACGGGTGTTGGAAAACGGCAATTGCTGGCGCTGGGTTACTGAGCCTGCTTGATGCAGTCGGTGGTGGGGTGACTCCTGTCCTCTCACCGATCTCCAAAATGCAGCAGATGCATTCTCTTGCCTTCCTACACAGGCTGAGGAGTCACGAATGAATTATTGTCAGCCTCCCTTTGTGGTGGATAAAGGAAAGAAATGATTGAGCTCTTTCATGAGATGTGATAAGTTGGAAAAAATAGGAGCGATACCCAGGGTGCTTGTTTGTACAGCTTTGCCAGAGGAAATGCTAATGTTGTAAGAATAGGATTTTTTTTTTGCCTTGAGTTAGTTTAAAAAAAAGGGAGTTAGGGATGGTTTTGTGGATATAAGGGGGGGAGAGTGTAGGAAGCAAGTAATCTTTGCTATCTGTGGAAAGCATGTCTCTTAAGCACTGCGCTCTCTAGAAAGTTGATAGATTTATCTTCCTGAGCTAACGGACCTCCTGCTGTTTAATTAACATTGTGTTTGGATCTTGTCGGATTTTTGTATTAAATGGGACTGCTGAAGGACTTGGCCAGATGAAATCCGGGCAGGCGAGAGAGGCAGCTGCCTGTGGGCTGCGGGCAGGGCTGGGGTGGAGGGCTGCAGTCCCCTGGCCCCAGAAACAGGCAGAGTGTGTGGGTGGAGGGGAGAGAGAAATTATTTGGGGGTTCAAAACCTCACATTCCTTATGGGGAGAAAGAAACTACCCTGCCTGGAGCTTTGTAATTTATTCACGTGTTTATTTTAATCATGAATTTTGGAAGCTGTTCAAGAGATCAGAGTCTTAGAATAGGTCCCATAGAAAATGGATTAAAGAATGGGTAACACAGTTCCAGATGTGTGGTGTACTTAGTGCACTGCTAAAGTCACTTATGACATGGACAGGAGGTCCTCATTCAAAGAGTGTATGTAACACCTTAAAAAGAAAGGTCGTGCCTTGCATATGGGTGTGCACACATATATTTCAGAAAATGCTAGACTAAATTTACTCCTCTTGGCTTTGATTTATAGAACTAATTGGAACTAAAAAGTCAATT